ACATCATCGCCAGAAGCATCATTTGTCTGAACACATACGGGATGATCTGCAAAAAATGATTACTTATTAACCATTCAGTTTACCGTCATCAGAATACAAATTAAACAAATTCATTGAATCGTTAAAATAATGATTATCTGATGTTATCTTACTGTGTCAAGTATAGCAGTGGTGTAAGAAAAAGGTAATATAACAATATAAGCATTGCAAAATTATAAAAGTGAAGTAGCCACAGTTCTACAGGCAAAAGATGTGTTAGATTCATTACATTTTTCCTCACAGAGATGGCATTTACATAACACAGCTGCATCTGCTTCATGATCATCATCCCTTGGATGTAAACCAGTTGAGACTTGTCCACATGATTTGCATGAACAATACAAACAGTGCCAGTGACCAGAAGGAAACTTCTGAAATAAACAAAACATTAGAAACTCCAAAAAAAATTCAAATGCCAATTAATAATTACAACAATATTCATGTCCCAGAAAGATCTGGAGAATTTCACTAAATAATCCCTCATAATTTGATGCAAAGTGCCAGACTGAAAATTCATCCAGACCTCCAGATACATTGATTTATGCAAAAAGGATTAAACTTAGTTCATTGACAAGAGTACCTTAACATCCTAAATGCTGACACATTAATTAATAGTTAAATAGTAGACCAAAAAAATGTTTCAACTTAAGGAGAGTTAGGTAACCAAGAGGAAGGGCATGACCTCAAAAGGATCACTTGATTGCATTTGGATGTAACTCACACACACCAATATTATGGTGAACACTTACCTTAATATCCAAGCAACTTTGATGAAACGTAGATGGACAACTATCACAACAAATCAAATCTCCCCCATCTCCACAAATTCCACAAGTATCATCATTTGGATCTTCGATATCAACGTCTACAAAATTATACCCTTTACATTGTGGTTCATTTTGTTTATTCCATGATTCCAACAGGCATTGGAGGAGGGAAGAACCAGTCTGTACACATATATTTTCAAGCGGCTGACCAAGTTTGCTTCCTGAATGCATTTCAAATTTTGAAACTGTAATAACTTCATCACAGCAGTTACAATGAATTCCATCTCTTGTAAGTCTACCCTCAAGCTTTACCTGTGTCTTTCTTTTGTTCATGTACCGCACCTTCTCATCAACTGACAAAACCCCCAAATCTATCATCCAAGCAAGTAGTGTCCGCTTCCCATTATAAAGTAAATACCCATCATTGCATGAATTAGCGCTTTCCTCTGTATTTCTGACCAACAAAGCACATCGCTTTCTATTTTTTGTCCGGAATGAACTAGGGAACTCCTTTTCTACGTTATGATCTAAACTATTGAGCTCGTGATGCGAAGTATCATTTTTCCTTTTCCTCTTCATTGACTTAGAAACTGGACTCCTTGTCCTTTCCTTTTCAATGAACCCTCTCATTTTGAGTTTTCCACTTCTCTTTTGCTTCTTCAATTCTCTGTTCCTACTTGCTCTAGTAACCCTTGTTAGTGTCATGATTTCTTCCTCTGGTATTGGAGTAAATATAAAACCAGTCTTATAAACTTTAGAATCACCGTCACCTACTTCATAATGCTTTTTAAGCACATTATATGCCAAGGTTATTGACCAGTGAGTTCGTCCCTCTGGACTTACATAAACTGCATCGTTGTACTCTCGATTAAATCTAGGCCTATACTCAATTGTCCAACCAGCAGTTTTTAATATTTCAGTAATCCTCTCTCTCAATAAATTTTTTACTGTAGATTTACTGCAGTCATCTACTTTGATCTTGGAATTTTCTCCGTTCTTCACTTCATTTGCTGCCTCTGGCTCGAATTCCTGAGATAAATATTTTTCAGTTTGCACGTAATTCCGCATCCTATTTCTCAACTTCATGCTTAATTTTCTTGCCAATCTGACCTTTCTTCCCTCATGCTCAACCTTCAGGGCTTCATAGCTTTGTTGCACCTTGGGTGGTCTCCCACGCCTAGATTTCAAGGTATTCAATCCACCGGATAATGGATTATAACCTTCCTTTTCAGTCGTGGGTGGTCTTCCACGCCTAGGTTTCAAGGCATTCAATCCACCAGACAATGGATTATCCTTTTCCTTTTCAGTCTTGGGTGGTCTTCCACGCCTAGGTTTCAAGGTATTCAATCCACTAGACAAAAGATTATCATTTTCCTTTTCAGTCTTGGGTGGTCTTCCACGCTTCTTTTTCGACTTATTCTCTGACCCACAGACAAATTGATGGTTGTTTTCACTCTCCAACTTGGGTGGTCTTCCAGGCTTTCGTTTCAACTTCTTCCTAGGGCTAACGACTACTTCCTCCGCTTCCTTTTCCACCTTTGGTGGTCTTCCACGCTTTCTTTGTACCTTCTGATCCCCAGAGAACAATTCATTATCACTTTCCTCCAACTTCACTAATTTCTTGCCATATCTACTGCTCCTACAATTCTGCACTGCCATAGTACTGTTATTCTCTTCACTATCAGCTACACTACTGCACTCTATCGTTACTGCAAAACTCGACCGCAAAACTCGATCACTACCCCTTAGTTTATCAGCCATAAGTTTTCTTCTCACGTTCTCCACTACCTTTGTACTTTCATCATCCACCTTCCACCTTTTACTACTATTTTCCACTTCAGCACTTTCCCCGCTACCCTTGTAAACATCCACCATTACTTCCTCAACCCTCGCCTGACATCCCTTCTCAAATTCCATCTCCAACGACTCTCTCTCAGAATCACAGCTGATAGAAACCGACGGCAGATTTTCCTCACCATTTACATGAAGATTCCTCAACGCTGCTTCATTGCCTTCCTCATCCAAAACTCGATCAAAATCATAATCGTCCTCTTTCGCCTTCCCTAACAGCTTCTCAGCACTCAACTCCTCCTCCATACCCCAAGAACACCCAAAATTCCAAAATGCTCAAACAGAACCCCCTGAACCTAACCAAATTCCCGCCACACAACAACGAACAACAACACAACCTCCACACTCCCACTCAGCGCAGCCAAAACCCCAGAAAGAAAAAAATGATTCAACCACAAATTAAAATATCACATTAGAAACAAAAGGAACAAAGAAATTGCTGAGAAAACAAAAACCAGATTAAATCCCGGCCATGGCAACAGCGAAGAACATCCTTCCAATGCAGCAAATTCCAAGAAATTGCAGAATCGTAGGAGTTGAAGAACGATGTTGACTGGCGTGTGATTCGGTGACAAAACTCTGCATATTTGGGAATGAAAAATTGATTTTGTTATTTTGGGTTTAAAAAGGTGAAACAAAGAAGACGGGTTTAGTCTACAGAAAGAGGGTTAGAGTCGTTGGGTGGCTTTTCATTAAAATCAGCATAGAAGGGTAGGTTCGCAAGTAATTAATGGAGCTAAAGAGGGGTACAATCGTCATTCCGCTTTACAATTTCTAATTTTCCCTCCATAAAGTATTTCCAAATTAAAAATATATATATATACGTATACCCCCCAACGAATTGGGGCAAGATAAACAATTAGGGCTTTTTGGGGGGCCGATTAGCAAAATCCCATTTTAAATTTAAATTTAATGATAATTTTCATTTTAAAAATTTAAAGAAAAATATATATACTTTTTTTAAAAGAACAAAAATAAGTTTGGGAATCATTTCATTTTATTTAGAAATTATATTTAGTAATGATTCTGTTGGGTTGAAAAATTAATTCGTTAATAGTTACATAAACTTTTTTTTTTTTAATTTTAAAATTAATTTTAAGTAAATATCCAAAATTATAATTTTCTTATCCTCTCCAATTTTTTAATTTCAAATGGATGTTTTTTTAAAAAATAAAAGTTAAGAAAATTATATTTATAAAAGTGCTTTGGAGATGCTTTTTTATAAAACATTAACGTCAAAAAGTACACTAACTTTTCAAATGCTAATAAACTTCAAGCTGGCAATTTGGTCCAATTTAAAATGTCAATTTGATATGGATTTTTTTAAAAATTTATATTTAAGAAGCGTTTATTATTCAACTTCCGTCAAACTCGAACTTAAACTGATATAATTTTTCATTTTAAAGCAAAATTATCGATTATGGCTTCAATTTTGTGTAATATCGAGCTATGCATGCTATAACAAACTTACAAGGGAAGGCAATATTCCTTACAAGGGTGTAAAAATCTTTCCCTAGTAGATGTATTTTACAATCGTGAGGCTGATGGCGATACGTAACGAGCTAAAGCGGACAATATTTTCTAGCGATAGACTTGGGCTTGAGGGGCATGTGGCTTCAATATGTGATATCGAAGACTCTTTCTCAAGTAGATATGAGATATCTGGTATGCAATGGGAGATCGACCCTAAGAGTAAGCTATATTGTTTTATATCTTGTCCTTTCCACCCTCCCGAGTTGCAAATTTGGGTCAGGATCAGATCAACCAACGACTCGTAAATCATCACATCCTACGATTATAATCTATTGTGCAAATACGAACATAGCCATACGAAAACATCTTGGACTGCAAAACACACAAACTACATCCAAGTCAATTTCTCAGCCTCAAAGCATGAAGGACATTCATAACATTTATAAAACAATAAAAGGCAAACAGATTGAATACAAGAACCATACCTTACTGTTTCGGATTCATATCTATTCATGGTGAGTGAGATGGGAGTGTTCTATCCAAGTCATGGAAATTCTGATTTTAGAAGGTATCAGAGACAGACCACAGGCTCAACACCAAAAATGAGGCTCTAAGTAGTGGTTAGAACAGCAAAGAATTAGGAAAATGACATATAAGCAGCAAGAACAAGATGTATTGAGGCATGATCCAAGAACATACCAGCTCAAAGAAGATTTTAACAATGGAACGACCCAGTCTGGTTCTACAGGGAATGGTCATGGTATGCATAGGATTCCTAGCAAGAAGCCTCTAAGCTTTGTGATAGACCGTGCTCGGATTTGCCTACACATGCTTGCGAACCCATCAGTATACATGTCTACCTCATTGAATCAAGAATCTCGAATCTAACATGGAAACTAATATTAACGTTAAGAGCAAAAGCATATGTTGCAGAGGTTGAGAAAGGGTATGATGGCAGTTTGCAACAGCACGTCCAAACAGCCTGCAACATTTACAATCCTCCCGGTGATGCTAGCAAGTTGAAGCTGCAAAAGAAGTAGGATTCAGTGAATTCGGAATCTAAGAGAGTAAAGAGAGGATAAGATTACAACCATGGGCAAAGAGGAAGGGACCGATGAAACAAGAGGCGAGCAAATATTGAACATGTGAGATTCCACATTGGTTGGAAAGGGGAACGGAACATTCTTTATAAGGGTATGAAAACCTTTTTCTAACCTAAAGAGGACAATATTTGTTAGTGGTGGGCTTGGGCCGCTACAAATGGTATCAGAGCCAGACACTGGGTGATGTGCCAGCGAGGAGGTTGAGCCTGAAAGATGGGGTGGAGACGAGGCGATGTGCCAGCAAGGACGCTACGCATCGAAGAAGAGTGAATTGGGGGGACCCATATCGATTGGAGAGGAGAACGAGTGCTAGCGAGAACGCTGGGCCCTGAAGAGGGGTGGATTGTGAGATCCCACATTGATTGGAGAGAGGAATGAAACATTCTTTATAAGGGTGTGAAAACCTCTCCCTAGCAGACGCGTTCTATGGATGAGAATTCAAATGCAAATAGTACAAGAAAAAATGGATGAGAATTCAAATGCAAATAGTACGAGAAAAATGAATCCATACAAGACCATACCTGGATAGGCAAAACCCTTAAACGAAACCAAGTTTCTTTAGTCCAGAAGCTGTGATATCCGGAGCAAGCTTCCTTGGTATCAAATGCAATAAACCGACTCCATAATAGATACCACGGCGAAGCCACGTTACCAAAAATCATTACATGAGCAAGCACCACTCTTAAAATGGTGGAACCTATGAACATCACGAATAACTATTTCCCGATCGGTGATACTCGATAAAAACTTCATAACATCATGGCAATCTCCACAAATACGTAGATTTTTTAAGATACGAATTTTTTTTGTTGCGCTGGTATTTATAAGAGCAAAAGCAAGGGCCAATCTTTCACTGTGAAATCGAAGGTATTCCCTTTTTTCAGTTTCTTCTACATTATGAAGCACGTATTCAGTTTTGGGCACATATCCTATGGCAGTAAGTTCTTTATCAAGCTCCTCTAGCTTTAGATGTATTTCCTGAATTTGTGGATGTGAACAATCATGAGACACGAACGTGTGAGCTTGACCATTAGCCTCGACCCAGCTACACCCTGGCTCCTTTTTAACTCCTTTACTAGACATCAAAGTTCGAACTCTTTTGACATCGTCCCACTTTCCTTTTGTCGCAAAAATATTCGAGAGTAATATATAATTAGTCTCCTTCTCCGGTTGAAGGTCAATGAGTTTGTTTCCAGCTTTCTCACCCAAAGCCAAATTGCCATGCATTTTACAAGCTCCAAGGACAGTCTCCCATATCAGTGCATGTTGTGATAGTTGCATTTTTTTAATGAAATCTTCGAGCTCATCGAATTTTCCCACACGGCCTAGAATATCAACCATACAAGCACAGTGGTTCACGGTCAGAGAAATACCAAAATCTCTATACATAGAGTTAAAATGTTTTTTGCCCTCTTCAACTAAGCCTTGGTGACTGCATGCAGAAAGAATGCCTATGAAGGTGACCTCGTCGGGCGATATGCCTTCGTCTAACATCATCTGAAACGCCTCGAGAGCTTTATTTCCTTGCCCGTTTTGTGAATATCCACATATAATAGTGTTCCATGCGACTGTATCTCGACAAATCAAAGCTTCGAATAACATCTCAGCCTCTTCCATGCAACCACATTTTGCGTACATGTCGACAAGGGCACTACCAACAAACATATCACTTAAGTGTCCACTCTTAAAAGCCATGGAATGTAGTTGTTGTCCACCTTCTAGAGAAGCGAGGGACGAGCAACCACTCAAACAGCCAGCAAGCGTGAACTCATTCGGCTTCACACCTTCCTGTTGCATCTGCCTGAAATAACTAAGAGCCTTTTCCCCCTGGTTCGTCTGTGCATGACTCGTAATGATAACTGTCCAAGTAAAAAGATCTCTAGAACTTAACCTGTTGAAAGCTACATCAGCATCTTCCATGCACATACACTTGGCGTACATGTCAATCAGAGCTGTTTGAACAAAATCGTTATCATCCAGATCATTTTTGATGATATGGGTATGTACTTGCCTCCCAAAGTGCACATCTAAAAAACAAGAACACGATCTTAAAATACCGATAAAAGTATACATGTTCGGTATAAAACCGTCCTCTAACAGGTGACCAAAGATAGTAAGTGAACGATCGTACATTCCAGAGTCATGAAATCCAGATAAATATGTATTCCACGAAACCAAATCTCGTTCGATCATCGATTCAAACAACCTTGCACCCTCATTCACACATCCACTTTTCATGTACATTGTGACTAATGCATTGTTGATTGAAATATCAGTTTCAAATCCATATTTCCAAACACAAGCATGAATGCTTCGCCCATATCGATAATCTTCCATATTTGTAGCGGCACTTACGAGGCTGCAAATAGTATAATGGTTTGGTCTAGTACTACTCGATCGCATTAAGTGGAATAACTTAATTGATTCGCCGCTTTGTCCTTGCTGATCAAGGCATGTAATCATGGCACTCCAAACAACTATATCAGGCTTTTTAATCTTTTTGAAAACTTCTAATGCATCAATTGCCATCCCACACTTCGAGTACGTATCGACCAAACCACAACCTAAGAATTCATCGCCTTCATACCCATATTTGATAATCAGGGAATGGATTACCTGCCCCTGTCGTAAATTTTTGGAGTTTGCACAACCCTTTAGTACCGTAGTTAACGTGAACTTGCTAGACTTCACATCTGATTCCATCATACAACAAAATAACTTCAAGACTCCAATCCCATCGCCCGCTTGAGCATAACCATTGAGTAGCACATTCCATGTCACTTCATTTTGCTCAGGTATACCAAAGAACATTCTAGACGCAAGTTCCATCTCTCCACATTTAGAATAAAGGTCAACAAGAGCAGATCCAACAAACAAATCTAGTAATAATCCAAGTTTAAAAGCTTGAGCATGCATCTGTTTTCCAAGATCTAAGGCCATACACAAAGAACATGCTTTTAATCCAGTAGCTAGAGTGAACTCATTGGGCATGATTCCTTCATTTTGCATCTCCTGAAATAAATAAATACTATCATTAACAAATCCTTCTGCCACAAGGCCTTGAATTAACGCCGTCCAAGAAACAACATCACGATCAGGCATTTTAGCTAGCACTAATCGAGCATATGCAGAGTACCTACACTTCGCATATACATTCACCAACGAAACCCACAAATGGGAATCTGGATTAATCACATCCTTGACGACAAGCCCATGGATCGCTTTTGCAGCACCTAAAGATCGATTCGATGCACATTCATGCAACATCCATGAATAATATTTCAACTTCTCCTTGCTACTCAAGCATACTCGATTTTCCATAACATCTTCAGTCTTTTGGTGTTCCAAGCTATATCTATGTGGGACATTCTGTACTCTATTCTTAAATTTATGACCAAATTGATCTTTTGACATTGAAATTCCAATAGAGTCAGAAGGGTACCTGGGCTTTGGTGGTATTTTGAAACTACTCCGTCGAATCGAAAACAACGAAGACCTAGTAGTAATTTGAAACTTGTTTGGGCATTGAGAGGAACTATGTAACCAACTAGATATCAACAGATTTTGGAACCCAAGAGGAGTACCATGAATTCTCATCGCAATGAAGTTCTGTTCCATCAATTCAGACCAAAAGAATTACTCCTACAGTAAAACTATATTCAGTAATACATCAAATTAAAGAAGAACAAAAACATTTGGAACTAATTTCATTTTAGGGTTCTATCATAAAGAACACATTTCACCTTGTATAAACAGACTTCAAGGAAGAATTAGAAGATTACCTTCTCTGTTATAACTCCAGAAACCAAATAAGGGGGAGTGACATCTAAAGCAGAGTTGTTCCACAACATACAAACCAGATGCAGCCACTTCCTCCTCGATAACTCCACGAGAGCTCAACAATTCGTTGGGAGATTTTTTCTCTACAATGAAGAAATTGGTAAGTTGTAAAAGTGATAAACAACGAAGATGTAACCAAATAAATGGAAGGGATGACAGATTGAAGCTAGAAATTGCAAGAATCAGTAGAACACAATCAAAGAAATTAAAATTTTAAAACATTAAGCTTAACAGGCGATGAAAGCTTGAGAAGTGAAGGTGGAGAGGTGGTATTAACTATTAATTTGAAAGTTTAATAATAAAAATAAAAATTTAAGGTAATTAAAGAACATGTTCTTTTTATTGAAGATTATGGCTGTAATCACTGAGCTTAAGAAATTCTCACCCAGACGAAACAACGAATAGAAGCGAGAGAGATGAACGGAGCAGTCGCCGGCGTATGAGAGAGAGGGGGAGGTAGCTCGTAAGGACGGCGGCGGTCCGCGGGAAGAAAACTGGAGGCGGGCGGCGGTCCGCGGGAAGAAAACTGGAGGCGGGCGGCGGAAGAAGTTTAATTCGTGGGCGCGGGAGGCTATGAACTCCTTACTTTGGAAACCTCAAACGTGCTTGCCAAGTATTAAAAGTGGGCCTGTTTAACAGCCCATTATTGGAATTTGGGCCCAAATAGCCCAACCCACCTATTTGTTCTTACTAAAATATATTTGTTTTGGCGAACACACAATTTTATTATTTAAAATTTTTTAAATAATATCTAATATAATTTTAATTTTATAGGACAAAAAAATGTTAAAAAAAAGTTTAAAAAATTCCTTCTTGGGCCTATGGGTTCCACTTGATTGGGCTATGGGCCGTGTGAAAGCCCAAAAATTTCCTTCTTGGGCCTATGGGTTCCACTTGATTGGGCTATGGGCCGTGTGAAAGCCCAAAAATTTCCTTCTTGGGCCTATGGGTTCCACTTGATTGGGCTATGGGCCGTGTGAAAGCCCAAAAATTTCCTTCTTGGGCCTATGGGTTCCACTTGATTGGGCTATGGGCCGTGTGAAAGCCCAAAAATTTCCTTCTCGACATATGGTCTTGTGACTTTGCTTAAACCCATGACCATTCCCTAAATTAACCAATGTGGGACACTTTCATCTAACACCTCCCCTCGAACAAAGGACGTCTCCCCTTAATCGAGGCTCCACTCCTTTGGAGTCTTAGTCATTTTTAACTGCCTTCGTACCTTCGAGGAGGCTTGACTCCTTTTTTCTTTTTGGAGTCATTTGTTCGACATTCGAGGATTTGCCAATCTTTTGGCACGACTAAATTTAGGGCATGGCTCTGATACCATGATAGACGAACACGACTCTCCACAATGGTATGATATTATCCACTTTGAGCATAAGCTCTCATGGCTTTGCTTTGGGCTTCCCAAAAGACCTCATACCAATGGAGAGTGTATTCTTAGATTATAAACTCATTACCATTGTAGAGAGTCGTGTTCGTCTAACATTGATTACTCCACATGACATAGCTGATACGTGACATCCGATTAGATATGACAAAAATCCGAAAGAGGAAATAATGTAAAATGAATAATAATAATAATAATAATAAAGAAAGATTATTAATTGAAGAAATTGAATGGCACATGATATGTTGAAGTGAGATAGACGAGTTGGAGCTTTCATTCACATGGCATAGCCAGATGTGATATGAGCTGTGTTTGTTTGTGTGTGGGGGGTTTTATTATACTTTTTTTTTTCTTTTTTGTTTAATAATTTCTCGTGATTTTAGCTCCAACCTCGTTTGATTGCACGTGTTTACAACACTAATATCTATTCAGGTATGAGATATCTGTTACACGATGCGAACCCCAAGGCCACTACTAGCAGATATTGTCAGTTTTCACATGTTACGTATCGTCGTTAGTCATACGATTTTAAAACGCGTCTACTAGGGAGAGGCTTCTACACTCTTATAAGAAATGTGAGATCTTCAGATACCATGGTGTGCCAGTAAGGATGTTGGCCCTCAAGACAGTAAATTGTGAGATCACACATCGATTGGAGAGGAAAACAAATCATTTCTTATAAGAGTGTGGAAACTTCTTCCTAATAGACGAGTTTTAAAATCGTCAGGTTAACAACAATACGTAACGGGTGAAAGCTGACAATAACTGCTAGCGATGAAGTTAGTATGAACAATAATAGTAAAAGGTTATTTATTATTGAAAAAGAGAGTGTTGCTTGAATTTGAAGAAAATGGGGATCTTCATGAATGTGAATGATGGAAAAACTTTCTTGAATTTCAAGTGTGTTCATGACTTTATGAGAGATGATGTTAAAAGATTCAACTAACTCCCAAAATTAATTTTTTAATTTTTTTTTTCTTGATAATTTTTAAAAAAATGATCACGTACATCGAGAGTGAGTTAAGTCGATTCATCTTGCATCACCTACGGCCAAGTGATGTATGCTCGAGCCTCTGATCCCGGTTCAAGAAGAAAGTTTTAAAAAACGGAGACACAGAGATTTCGAAATAGAGTTTTAAAAGCAAGATTTGAGAAATTGAAATTGGCTTACGACATATAACTATTGAGTAGGGAGAAGTGATATCAGAGTCAAGTTCGGGTCCTAGGGAGGAGTATGAATGACCAAGTAGATATAAAATTAAAAGTTTAGAGAATTATTACACCGTTGTCCGTCAAGACATAGGTCCTTCGTATTTGATTCAACTTCAAAATTTAATGTTCATAAATTATGTTCGGAAATATGTTTGTTCGTGCTTCGAGTATCCATATGTTTTTAAATGAAACACAATATTTGTTTTCACGTGTTTTAGTCATGAAATCGTGACTCGAACAATCTAAATAAAGGTTACCATCCAGCCAAAATTCAACTCTATTTATCTCTAATGTATGTTACATTAATAAATAAAATCTTACATTACTAACATCGGTTACAAACATTAAATATTCTTAATTTTTTTTTTAAAGTAGGGTCGGATTGTAACCCTGTATTCGAGTGGATTGAGTTGATCCGACAAAAAAAAATATCAAACACGTAAAAAATATCCCACGCTTAATGAATCACGTCTAGTTGCATTGATATATGACTAAGTTCAATCATGCCAGAGAATTTAATGAGGCAAGCTAATTAGGTGGAGTCGCCCCCACTAGTGGCTTAGACTTGGACCACGCGACTATCCACAATTATATTAGGTTAAATATCCCACAATTATATATATCCACCGAGCAGACTTTTGTAAATGTACTTGAAATATTCTTTACATTCTCTCTTATGGTACAGAACTGATGTCATCAATACAAATCATTTAGCCAATATTCTCATGTATTTTCTCTATCATGTTCTTTGTGTTCATCTAGATTAAGTGTGTGTGTTGTTGTGCGATCCTAATAATATGATATCGTCACTTTGAGTATATAATCTCATGACTTTGCTCTCGTAGCAATGGTGATATATTCTTTACTTATAAACTCATGATCATTTTCTTAATTAGTGGATGTGGACTCTCTACCAATAATCCACAACTTACAATGTTTTATAAATTATTGAATAATAAAACTTTAGATTTATAATCTAAATATAAACATGTTTGGGTAACACATAAATATATATTTTTTCGATTCATTCTTTTGTTCTTCGTTTAATCGAAGATTTCTAGCTTTATTATATATATATATATATATATATATATATATATATATGTATGTATGTGGAAAGAAATAGTGATTTATGAGTTGTTAGGCACGCTTTGAAGCAGTGATTTTGAAGCTTTGAAATTTCATGTGTTAATGTCAGTAAAAGAATGCCCATAATCATTCCATTAATTATTCTCTTAATCCCCAAAAATAATAATAATAAATTCATTCCATTTGCCTTTCACTTCATATAAATCTGTGTTTTACCCCCAAATCCCAATTTCATACGTTCTCTCTCTCATGGCTGAAACCCCAAATCAGATTGTCTTCGTCAGTTTCAGTTGATTTCATCTCCAATTTCATCACAGCTACAGCTTGAAGTGTGTGTGCATTTTGAATAATCCAAGGAAATTTTGCTATTATGAAGGATTTTCCTTCTTGTTTCGGCGAAAATGGCGTCCAAATTGCAGATTCTTCGTCTTCTTCTTCTTCGTCGTCTTCGAGTATCAGTAAAGCCGCTCAAAACCTAGTCACCTGCGTCTACCAGTGTAAGTTACGCGGCCGATTGAGCTTCATCGTTCTAACATGGACCAAGCATTTGATGGGACAAGGTCTCTCGCTTCAAATCGAAAACTCTGCTAATCAATACCTCTGTAAGGTAGAAATTAAGCCGTGGCTGTTCTCCAAAAAGAGAGGATCGAAGATCGTCGACGTTGATTTCAATAAAATGGAGATATACTGGGATTTAGCAAACGCCAAATTCGGCTGCGGACCGGAGCCGGAGGAAGGATTCTTCGTTGCTGTGGTATTCGATCGAGAGCTCGTATTCCTCGTCGGTGATTTACCGACGGAAGCTTCCAAGAAGATCACCGGCGTCTCCACTACCACGGCCACGGCGGCGGTGTTTGTGGCGAGGAGAGAGCACGTGTTCGGGAAGAAATCGTACTACGCGAAGGCTCAATTCAGCGAGAAAGGAGAAACGCACAATCTGTGGATCGAATGCGATACTAGTGGAGGATTGAAGGAGCCGAGTTTAGTGATTCGAATCGACAGCAAGACGGCGATGCAGATCAAGAGGCTGAAATGGAAGTTCAGAGGGAATCATACAATTATGGTGGACGGAATTCCGGTGCAGGTCATGTGGGATGTTCATAATTGGCTCTTTGGAAGCTCCGCCATGAGTAGTGCTGTGTTCATGTTTCAAACGCATAAGAGCAGTGGAAGCCATAGCCAATCCAGTTTTGATTCTTCTTCTTCTTCTTCTACTACTTCTTCTTCTTACTGTCAACAGAGTAAAGATTCGAAGTTGCAGGGTTTGGATTTCTCCTTGATGTTATATGCTTGGAGAAATGAATGAATAGAGAAAATAGTTTTTTTTTTCCTTCTCTAAAATTCATGGAGAATCAAGCACACTATTAAATTAAGAAAATTAAACAAAGCGTTTACTTTTTCTTATAAAGATTCGAACCAACCTTAGCTTTAATTTTTTCTCTTTCTTTTGGAGTTCAAAAGGTATTTTATTTTATTTTATTTATTTTTCCACACATGATATAGAAATCTACCTTGCCTTTGTTCTTATTTGGCTATCAATTGCACAACATCTTAAGCTACATTCTACATTCCACTTTTTCTTTTTTCTTTTTTCTTGTGGGATCTCTTTGAAATTTAAATTTTCAATGTTGGATGGTTGTTGATCATTTTTTCTATTCAATATTGGATAGATTTCGAGTGAGCAGATTGCTTTACTTCTCTGGAGAAAGATGCAAAGACAGAAATAACACTGAGCGTGGAAGTGAAAGGACAATCACTCATTCTTAAAACATAAAAAAGCGAGCAAAAAAAAGGGAGAAAAGCTTTGAATAACACTGAGCGTGGAAGTGA